ATCTGTGTGGGGCACCACCTGGAAATCCTAGATTTTCCAGGAACTAGAGGCACAACTGCAGGCACCACTGCTAAACCACTCAGCCAGGCAGCAGAAACTAAACAGGCTGAAAACTTCCATTTGGACCAGCTGTAATAGCGCTGTGTACAGCTGAAAAAAGCAGAGGAACCCCAGGAGTACAGCACCAACCCCAGATGGGGCTTTGTGGGGTAAGGGAGGATGTCACCAGGAGTGCAGGACGCACAGTTACGTTACCACCATCCATCTTCTACCTTCTGCCACAGCTTTCTTTGTGGGTCCCCAAACTCTCACATCCCTCACCTCCTGTGCCAAGGCCAGCAGGCTCGTCGTCCCCACTCGATGTTTCACAGCCTCTGCCCCATGCAGGCCCTTGGGGGATAGCAAACTGCTACTTCTGCTTCACTGAGACTGACCCAAGGAAGAGCTGCAAAATGTCTGGAGTGTAGAAAGAGCTGGTTTGCCATTGTTTCACTACTCCCATTTCCCATTTTGAAGTTTTCTCCCAGCTGAGGAGATGCACCTCTGCACAAGTGGACAGTGTCACAAACTATAACTCTCTCCCAAGAAGACCTAATGATGGGGACTCTTATTTTATAGGGTGGCACAAAACCAGAGGGCCTGGAATCCTGAGATTCCAGTTTTGGACAACACTTTAGAAGATAAATAAGGAGACTAATTATCTTAATTTATTCCATAATTATTTTAATTATCAATCACTTCCTTCTTTCTTACCTATTATCAGGTTCACAGGTGGGAGTACAGGATTCCGAGTCCTGAATGCAGGCTCTGCCCCTGGCATCCTCCTGTGACTCACCAGGTTTGTCTACATTTCTTCCCACACCTTTCATAACTAGACTTTCTTGAAGCTGCATCACTGCTTCTGGGGATGCAGTAAGTAGACTGTATATGCACACCTAAGTTGACTCACCTGGGAGAAGATGTCTTGCTCCTTCTGTATCATTCCCTCGGATGTTTTTAGGGAATGAGAGGGCCAACTCTGATTAAAAAAAAATATAGAAGGTATAGGGCATGGCTCCTGGGTTAATAAACAAGTTTGTTTTTTCAGGTAAAGACTATTTCAGAGGTCTTACATGAGTTTAAGGAAGGCTTGGTAAGGGTTTTCACATAAGATATATGCTTTTTGCTGCTTTGGCCAAAGATGACCATGTGAACCTGGGACCTGCTAAGGCAGCACCCACCCAGCAGAGGCTGGCTCTGACTGTGCTGTGGGACATGAGCTGCACAGCACAGTCACACTGCACCAGGCAAATGCTAATGCCTCACTGGCCATCCAGGGTGGCTCCTTGACAGATGCTGGTGGCATCAGGCACCCTGCAGCTCAGGCACAGACAGTCCTGGCCATGCTGAGAGTCTCTGTCATGGTTGCTGTATGTGGGCGTGATGCATTCACAGTTTTCCAGAAGAGGTGCTGCTGCTGGAACTGTGCTGAACGTGTGGAGGCAATGAAGCCATGTCCTGGTGTCACAGGTACATGGGAAAGAGAGGACTGAGAGGGAAGCACTGGCTGAGACATGAGCAATAAGTAAATCCGGGAAGCAGGAAAAGACAGGTAAGGAAGCTGGTACTCATTCAGCAAGAATTTGCAGTAAGGTCTGTTTATATGTACTAGTTGATAATATAACAATTATATTATGTTAATATAACAATTATAATATATACATTATTATAATATAACTATTATAAACAGGTTGATAACCTGTTTATAATAACTAGCTGATAATATTTTGATGAGAAATTCAGGGAGACCATGACCTCCATTTTACATCACACAGTCCTCTGCCTCTTCCCATCACCCACAGGCAGGCAGGCAGGCAGGCATCTTTCCAGAACTGGTTTCAGCACCAATAACAGTCACCATTTTCTAAGACCACAAGTATGTAGCAAATAATAAAATCCCCAAATCTAACAGAGGAAGAAGTTCAGGCCTGGAAATTGTGCAAGCTAAGTTCTGACTGTGTCAAAGGGAAATGAGGAAGAAGCACTCTGGGTGGAGATAGGAAGAACAAGTGTCAAAGGGAGATAACTGCACATGGGACTTGTCTGTTTGGATACAAATCAGATCCTCCATCCTCAAAGCTCAGGAACATCTTCCATCTTTGGTAATTAAAAAATTACGATTGTAGTGCCAAACTGCAGAAACAGAAAATAATCTTGCCCTACCTTATTAACAGCAAGCAGCTCCAAGTGCCATAGAAAGAAAGGGTTTCCAGAAAGATGAGATTTACTGAGACAATGGTATCGTCTGCCATATGAGCCTCATGCTCTCTCTGCCTCATTCTGGTCCTTTTAGACAGGCCAGCGTATGGCAGACTAAGCACTGACCAGGAGGTTCTTTGACATACACAGTAAATACAGTTTTTTTTGCCCTTGAAAACATGTATAATCTCAAACAGTGGTTCACCCCTGCATTCTTCTATATCTAATTTCTTTTTATCTGCTTCTATTTTAATCTCAGGACATTAAACTGTGTTGGGTTTTGACTCCCTAAATAGGCACAGGGAAACTGCAATGAGCTAGAAAACTGAATTTTATCTTTCACTGTGAGGCTGGCAGTACTTTAGCTTGGTGTGTTGTGCTGTCAGTATCTCACTGTTATCCTTTAACCTGACAGCAAAAAACCTCCCAGTCTATATTTGTTCCTGATGAGAGAAATGCAAGGAGAGGACATACAGACTAATCTTTTTACTTCATAAGAAATCAGCAAAGCAAATTTTTTTGTTTGTTTTGTTTTGTTTGTTTTTTTAGATTTTTATTTTTACAAGGTTTTTTTTGCTATTAACATAAGCAATTTATGCATAGCATAAAAATTAACATCAGGGCTGCCCTTTTAATAATTATAAGCAAAGTTATTGCAACTGAAGAGTTACAGCCTATCTTGCTACATGAATTATTATATTATCCTGGTTATTTACATATTGTAATTAACTGGGACTGTTTTGGTGCTTTGAAAATGTGATTTGTTAGCACTTGCAGCCACTTACGGAGATACAAACCCATGTAAAATGTATGTGAGTGTTAAGAATTCAGTTTACTGAGATCAAACTAAAATTTTGCTGAAAGTTTCCAATTTCCTGTCTCTAATCCAAGGGGCTTTTATATACACTAAATATAAAATGGGTTAATTTTAAAAGATTTACAAAAAATAGCTTACCAGGTGTTTTGTATACATTAGTCCTAATTTTTCTCAGGCCTGAATGCATCATTGTAATGAAAGCACTGAAGTTTTGTGCCATCTCTCAGTCTCAAATTCAAATCATGCAGAAAAAAAAGGGACCTGCACAAGTGGTTTTAGCCATGTACCTCCTTACCTTTCCCTGCTAGAGTGGTGCAGCATTTTCAGAAGTCTGATGTTCACCTCTTGTATAGAGACAGACTTTCCTATAAACTGATCCTACAGCAGATTGAGAGTTGTAGCCAGCTGCAAGCTGTCTCTGAAAGGATAAGCTATACTAAACTGTCATAAGGGGTTTTTAAATGGTTCTGCTTAATATCACCCTTGGCAGAAGATATGTTGTAATTGATCTACCTCAGCTGATCAGAGGCACTTGATTCATTAAGATGTATTAGGATTAATTTGAGCTCAAGGAGGTTAGGGCTTTGACTTTAGTGATATTTTATCTAACTGCCATGACAGAAACACAAACTGCAGAAATCCTTACAATACACAGGTGATGGAGAGAAGTAGTGTGATCAAAAATAAATGTACTTGCTAGCTGAAATCCTGGAAAACAGGTGCAAAATAGTTCATTCAGGTGTGGCTGTATGGAATGCAAAGAGAGAGCCCCAGTAAAGGAATGAGGTTAAAGTAGGATGAAATTCCCAAAGGCTGGTTTTGTAATGTGGCTGTGAGGTATTACTACTGCTCAACTTTGCCCTGGTGATGAATTATCAGTGGTTAACAAAGACTAACTGAAACAGAAATCTCATAACAGAGAATACAATAGCATATGCATTTTTGTCTGATTTTTCTCATCCATAAATGCTAGATACTAAAAAAAAAAGCATAATCAACTTGAATATAAACACTGTTTTCATACTTAGTAGATATATGAAGTATAGGCTGGCAAACTTAGCTGCTCACATGGTGTCAGGATTTTGTGTTATGGTGTCTGTGCATGTATGTCACGTGCCAGTTTAGGGGGAGAGGATGTTATGCAAGCAGCAGTTCATACTGAATTTTTCCAAGCCTGAAGCAGAATCACTTGAGAAAAAATTCTAGGTAAAACAGCTCAGCTGTTTCTGAGAATAGGATTTGGAAAATATGTTTTGAATGTGTTAAGCCAAATGTCTTTTTTTTTTCTAGGAAAGCTCCAAGACAGTCAGGTTTTCAACTACCACTTGGCAATTTGGCTGAAATGGCATCAGCAGTGCTTCTTTTGTCATTCTTGTCAATTTGCCCAAATCAGAGCAAGTAACAATATTTCGAAAGCAGCATCAGTTTGCCCATGCCAGGTAGAGACATGCCAATGTGCAGATAGTGAATTCAGACAGGTCCCTCTGCACCACCGGGGCTCTGTCGGAAGTGCCTTGCTTGGAGGCTCTACAGCTCTGACTCTTGGCTTTGCAGCACCAGGTGCCAGGCCAGGGAACAGCACTGGGGATGCACAGTGAGGTGAGAGACTGAGCTGATGGGGGACACTGGAGCAAGGAGCTGGAGTGGAAAAATTGGAGGTACATGGGGACAGGAGGAAAATAAAAGCTCTGCCTGGAGGACAGGCAGACAGGCAGAGGTGCTGATTAGAGTCAGGTCCTTGCAGTACCTAAATTCTACACTGCTAAATTCTCTGAGACACATAGGCAGAAGATTAATTCCTCACTTGAATTCCTTGTGGATTAATTCCCACTCCCACACCATTTTGTGATCTTGCCAATATCAATAATCCTGGTACTTCTAAGAAAATAAATAATTCTTTAATAAAAACATTACTGATTTGCTAAGATAAAAATTCCACATGGAAGAGAGACATGGAAGACAGGTTTATTGTGCTGGACAACCATGAAAGTAGGTCAGATACATGCTTTCTGAAGATTTTTGATGGCTGTCACAGTGTCACAGCTACTGAAACAAAAGCTTCCACTTTTATTGTTTGAACAGCTTTCTCACACAGATTCCTTCCACAAAAATAAAAATGACAAAGAGCAAATTCTTTAATTTTTTGCCAGACTAATCAAGGCTGATTACTGGGAAAAAGAGAAGAACCAGGCAATGAGGAGACCAACAAGACCAGTCTATTATGAAAGTGTATGCTCAGTCCTTTTGGAGAATGCAGATTTTTACAGCTGATAAGGAATGTAAGGAATGAGGTTTCCAAAGTTCACTGGAATGGAAGGTGTTGCTGGGCTAATGCATGTTGCTATTATAGGTAAGTATATTCCACACCAGGATTTTTTTCCCTTAATCCAATTAAGTTAAAAAAAAAAAAAAAAAAAGCAAAAGTAAGCATAAATTAATCTATAGATTTGTTGGCAGTTGGTATCTAGAGATAAAAAGCAGCAATTCCTTTAGCTTGACAATGTGAAGGAGACATGATAAATTCCCTCACAACTGAAACTGCTATTGGACAATTCAAACCATGACAAGTATTCAGCTTATTAGATAAGTAGCCTGAGCACAATATTTGAATTAAAGCATTTACTTCAATTTACTAATATAATAGAGTTATGAAGCATTCCATAATACACAAGTGACCTCTGTAAGAATAGTATGATTGTTTTTTTTAAATCAAGAGGTGTAAAGTGTCATCACTTTATGACAGGCTTCTGATTTTTTACCTGATAAAGTCCTTGTGTCAATGAACCATGCTTAAGATATTATTTAAATTCATTTGTTTCATTGGACTAAGTGCCACCACATTTTGCTACCAGCAAAGTGAAAACATGATTTGAATAATCCGAATTATTACTTTCTGGAATAGGAATCTATTCTATTTTACTCTTATGAAAGAACTATTCAGACCTGTTTCCTTATGAAGTAGAACCTTGCTTTTCTTTAGTACAGAATCAGTTATTTATTACAATGAGAAACAATGATACATTCCTAATGCTTCTTCACCCACCCCTGTTACAAGGGACACTAGAAGAAGCTCTTGCAGACTAGCAACTCTAGTCATTATATCTTCCCACCTGGTGATTTTTGTTACAGTTAAGCCCTCTCTGTACATCAACCAGCTGTGAGATTACAAGCAAGATACTTGCTTTCCTACAAAGGGGTGCACAAGCAAAGTTACATAAAAAAGCTGGTGTGTGAAGAGTTGTGCCTGCAGTTACATTCTCTTCCAGCCTCTGCTTGAAGTACATGCCCAGCAGTACACCACTTCTCTATCACTCTCCCTGGCACTAGTAAGGAGTGGACTGACACTGCAGCTGACACCAGAAGCACTCTTTCTTCCTGTGATGTGTGCGCATTCACACATCTTGTAAAAGACTTCTTCATATTTCTCCATATGAAATTTGACCAAAATTAATGAAGAGTCAAAGATATTAGAAAAAGGGAGGACCATTTGCGAGAATTCCTTGTGGTCAAGACAAAAAAAAAAATGTTCTATACTTGAAAAAAGCAATTCCAGATATTAAAAAAATACAACAACTTGCACTCATCTGCCAGCCTGAGAAACACCGTAAACCAACTTTATCGTGCACTGACACTGATCTAGGTAACTGTGGTGTACCCCACCACCTCCATTCTTCAATGCTGCTGTTAAAGCTGTTTTTTACCTCAAATAAGCTTTCTGCAGCTATGTGACCTTTACTGGTACGGGTATCAAAACAGGTAGTTCAGCAGTAGCCCATCTATTCTTTCAGAAATTCAGTCACACCTTTACTGGAATACAGCATTAACTCACAAAAAGGCTGCAATGTTTTCAGAGGCATTAGTGCGATAGAAACACATTTTATTCCAAAGAGACTGATGAAGGCAAGAACTGAGGCTGGATGAATTCTTTACCAAATTGCTTCTGGGTCTTGTTACCTGCCTCCAGCCATTCCTTACAGAGAGGGTTTCATGCTGGCTGCAATTAAGGATACCATAAATTCAAGCTCTGCTAACAAGTTAAGGTTTGAAGTTCATCAGAGGTACTTTAAACTTTTTATGATTAAAATCCACATTTCTGAACCACTTCTAGAATACACATTTATTTAATCTAATACAATTAATTTTCCACCAAATGTACCACATCAAAGAAAAAAATTCACGCAATGTGAGCCTTGATTTTTCCTCAAGGAGTGTGTTCTTACAAGAAGTATAGACATGTTTCTTCAGCTCCAGATAAGCAACAAAAGAGGATGGTCAGATACAAGGAGCAGGAGGTGGTGACATGGGCCATCTTCTTAATTTAGTCCTATATTGATAGGTCAGCTAAGTTTTGTTGATTCTTTTGCCCTGACTCTGGTCTGCAGACAAGAAAGACTTGTATCCAAAAGAGACAAGATTTTTACTCTTTCTTGCAGATTGTTCCATGTGGGTTATTATTATGGCCTTGGTTAAGCATACAGTTGGTGGTCCTGCACCAAGGGTCCAAAGGGTATTTTACACATTCTTCTAGCTCTCCATGGAAATCAGAGGAAGAAGTGTGAAACAAGCACAAAGAAACATACAGAGCACAACTTAAGGCATCTAAAAGTTATAATTAAAAAGGTATGTCCTTCAGTTTGGTGTTTTGAATCCCTTTCTGATTTAAGACAGAAGAAATCTGCCTTCACAGACTACACTTAGCTGTCTCCTACACTCGATGATGCCAATACTGCCCAAGAAACACAACTACTGCGTAAGCAATGCCAAATCATACACCCCTTTTCAGAGGTCAATCCCCCATCTAGCCAGATTATATTAAAAATACAATATAAATGAACACACTGCAGCCAGCTTCATTGTCTAGAAAGCCACCACATCCCAAACAAGTTCCTTCTGCCTGGAATCGCTTTTGCCTTTATGCCAACACATCGGAGGGGACAGAACATCTCCCCTAACACAAGAAATGGCTTCCCAGGGCAGCCACAGAGGATCTCCAATACAGCACTTTGGTTCAGAGCTCTTTCCTTTATGCTCTGTGTTCAAATCTGACATGATCAGCCCCCTGTACCGTTACAATTTGTAACACTTTTAATTCTCTTATTTCAGAAATGTTGAGGGACAGGGTTAGTCCTCAACTTCCGACAATGACTAAGAATTCTTGCTCCCTTGGGTGCCTTAACCAAGTAAGATATTTAAAGTATCCTCTAAGTAAACAGTAAATCCTAATAATGTCCAAATTATTTTCAAGTACTAGAATTTGTAGGCTGCCAGAAACAGTCTGAGCTGAAACATCTTGCTGAGTTCATTCAGACACTTGAAAGCACATGTTCTCATAGGAGAAAAAGAATTTGAGAAAAATAGAGAAGTTACACCTTGACTGGCTTTTAAACAAAAGTGCATGATCTTCATATTAGACTGCAATTTTAAGCTGAATTAAATGTCACCTAAGACTCCTCATAAGACTTTATTTGCAGTCAAGAGATTAGGATTCCAGAACAGTCTTCTAAGAATGGAAGGGGGAAAAAAAAGAGAAAACTTTGCTGTAAAACCAGAAATAGATTCAATGACATATATATTGTTGCCTGTGAACTAGATTATTAACTATGATCTCAGGTTTTTTCCCATTCCTTAACACAAGGCTGATACTGTAACAGCAGTATGTTTTAAAAACACAGTATACTATAAATACTATTTCAACTTCAGATGATGCATATGAAGTCTTACATAAAAATGGAGTCATGTCTCTCAAGAGCACAGCTCTTCTAATGTGAGAGAAAACACCAGAATGGTGGAAATATCAGCACTAATAAACCAGATTCGTAGAGGGATACTAGAGAACTACAAGGGCTCTTGGAAATCACAGAGCAACAGTAAAAAGAACATCTGTTACCCCTGTACCTCATACTGCATCTGTCCCTAACAATGTTACTTGCCAGTTTCTTATTTTGGTTTCTAATGGGTTTTGAGGGGTTTTGGACTACCTGAAGTACTTGCACCAACTCTTAACATTCACTCATTATTTGAGAATGCATGAATGCCGTTCAACAAAACAGGACTTAGTGTGCCAGCATCTAGTATCTCTCACAGGAGACAACTGACTCAAACACTATTAATCATCTGCAAGATAGAATACAGCTATTTTATTCCAATAAAGGTATTTTTCAGAGTGACTCAAAAGGCAACCTGAAACAAAATCAGTGAAAATATTTTAGGAAGAATTATAGGCATAGTAAAAATGGAATTCCTAATAAGGAAACAAAAAAAAAAAAAATCAAACTAATCCAGAACTGTCTCTTTTCAGTAACAATGAAGTAAATTCAAAGAACATAGATACACTACTCCAATTCTAGCATACAAAGGTGACTCTGAAGAACTCAATTTGAAGACAGAAAATTTTATCTAAGTTTTCATCCACAGTGAGACTTCAGAGCAAGAAGAAACCGACACCTTCTTTGCAGCAGGTCCAAGTCACAGCTGTAAGAACTGCAAGAGAATGTGCTGGTATCAAGGTCTAAAGCCATGAAAATGCCTCCAAAATAGACAAAACCATGCCATCTAATCTGACTCAAATACACATCTGGCAGAAAAAACAGACTCTAATTCATCTCATGACAAACTCCAGGTGATGTTGGTCAAGAACTGCTAAAGACTGTATCACCACTGGGTTCTAAACCACCACCAGAGCTTGAAAAAGACACAAAAATCAATTACAAATCACAAGCTGCAGAAGAAACACAGTCAGCTCAGAGACACTGCAATGCAATAAGTCACCTTGTGAACAACTGGCAAAGACTGCATTAGCTGCAGGTTCAAGAGACAATATTACTATTTTGATCATACTTCTAAATGGATATGATAAGATACCCAATTACCTCAACATTTAAAGATTTATCATAGAATAACTGGAGTGCCACAATATAATAGGACAAGCTTATATTTAGCTGTGCTATAAATTTATTGTAAGCATCTTAAATGCTGACCCATACAGTGAATCAGACATCTTGTCTGGAACTGTACAAATGTGATAAAACCTCCTGAAACTCTCAATAAGAACCAGTAATCAAAATTTTTTTAAACCACTTTATTCAAACCTGAGCACCTCAATATAAAACTAAACACTGGTGAACTGTCATTTTTCTTGCTAAACCCAGATTACTGCAAATTTAAAATCTGCACAAGTAAGTTTCTATCAGTTCAACATTTAAATAGACTAATTCATCTCTTCTGACACACTTTGTAGATTTCATATAATGAAAATAACTAAAAGAATTAGTGCAATATACTGGACTGATCAAAATAAAATGTACTTTGGAAAACAAAGTTGCGAAGTTCATTACTGACAGACAGCAGTACTTATGTTACAGATACAGGAGCATCATTTATTACTGTTCTAGCCATAAAGGAAGAACTCAGAACCCCCTTTGATTAGAGAGGAAAAAAGTTAGCTTTAAGTAACTGTACATTCTGTATACCTTTAAGCAACTCTTAAATATTACAGAAAGTATTAAACAAATGTAGACTACAATGCAGAGTACCTATTTACAGTACATTAATATCCAAATTTAAAATCAAGTTGGATGTACATAATCGTTAGTGCACTATTTTTTTCCTTAGGGGAAAAACAAACTGTAATGGCCAGCGATGATCAGAAACAAGAAAGAAGTCACAGACACCGAGTTTGTTGTGGTTTTACTTGAAGAGCTCTTACAGTTTGTAGAGGACAAAAAACCCCATATCCTAAGTTGTAGAGTTGAATTTACTGGTCTGTACCCTCTGAACAGATTAGAAATGAAGTTAGACTTGATTCATCACTAATTCATTAAGATAACTAACTGGGTTGATATAATTTACATACAGTGTACCAACTAAAACTCCACTTTCTCACAAGCATAGGATTTTTAAAGATTGTTAATGTATTATTTGTAATAAAATTATTAACCTATGGAATGTATAACTAAACAGTGGATACCTGCAGAAACAAGTGGTTGCATCAATACTGCAATTAAGTAATTTTTAGACCCTGTTTCTAAGGAGGTTTTAAAGCACAGTTGAGAATTATGGAAAGACCCAATTCTATTTATTATAACAGTGATCAGTACTGAGGCTACAGGAACTGGCCAATTAGGTCCACAGAAAGTAGTTCTTCTACACCCCTAATAATAACAACTGAATTTTAAAACCTTTCAAGTGAAGGAAGTTTATTCCGCCTCCATCTCTCCTCTACTGCTGAAACATTACAGCCAGTGGTGGATACATGCATGTTAAAATTTTAGGTGAAAAAAAAACTCTGTATCATGAACTTGACTATTATCGTAAGTCTCTTCGCTGTTTGGAAGCTGTACTGGACCAGGTTAAGCACTCCAATTCCATGGTTATTAACAGTTAGGAAGCAGAAGAATATTCAGAACAGTTTAAAGCAATTGATCTTTTAGTTACTACAACATTGAGTCTTGGGTGGTTGTGTAGGTTCAGTAAGGTCTACTCCTCTTCCTCTGGCAGAGCTGGCTCCTGCATTCTGTGGTTCATTCTTAGGCAATTTTTTTGCTGTAAGGTGAACAGGAAGTAGAGTTAAACCTGAGATTTTACTAAGATTAAATCACCTGAGTAAACAGAACAACACATTATAGACATATCAGTATACTGTTTATATATTCTGATTTGATTCAGTGCATTGGGAATGAAAGAAGTGAAGACACTTCTTAATGATTAGCTACTTTATTATTTTCAGGAGTGAAATGCATTAGTAACTCAAGCAGTACAATGTATCTGCACAGGTGTGCTATGCCAGTAAATAACAGTTCTTGTGGGAATCCACCCACACAGGAAAGTCTTTAAGATCAGGATGTTAGTGCAAAAAGATACAGAAACATTAAAAACGCACAAAACACTGACAGAAATGGGTCAAACAATTCCCAGATATCCAGCCAGAATAAGTGTTTGCAAACAACATATAAAATGGCCCTCAACACCAGATCAAGCCACGCCTGGTTTTTTTTTTTTTTTTTTTCAATCTGTCTCTTCAATTCTTATGAGTCAATTGACTGGTAATTTCTTTGTTGCCATTGTAGCTACAAGGTTCCTCCTCAGTCTTAACACAAAAAATAAGGGTGAAAGCAGTCACCCTTCTGAGCAGTAGCTTCTCCTAGATTTCTCTCCATCAGAAAATTGCTAAGTTCTACACAAAAGGACTTCCATAGGCCTATCTTACCAGGGCCCAACAACCACCCTTGTTCTACAGTTTGGCCAAAATGTTTCACTCCAAATTAATTACTTCTGTCAGTTTTTAAAAGAACTTTTTCCAAAATGAACAAAACACAGCCAAAAAAACCTGCAGAGCAGCTATCAACATGTGGTACCAGATAACCTCAGGGTGCTGGGCAAAAGGGTAAGCCACTCTGAGGTCCCCTCTCACTTGAGCCATTCTACAGTTCTGTGGTAAAACCCAAGAATCCACACGGTACTAAGCTTCTGAGCCAGTTTAAAGGGTCAATGCACCAGAAGAAAAATGTCTTCAGAGTAATGTTCTGGATTCTAGAACTGTATCTAGAACTGAATTAGCATTGGGTTTTTTAAACTGGAAGTTCTGAATGAGTGCTGAAGCAGTCACTTTACAAGCAGCTGCAGCATGTATCCAACAATTCTTTCAACATTTTCATTTTTCATTTTCTCTCAGCTTTAATATCATATTTATACATGGTCCTGAGGATTGCATCCATATTTCCAGGCCATTCCAAATGACATGCAATACTTATAACCTCATCAGAATTTCCATTCAGAGTCTATTGTTGCACAGATCTTGTTCTGATGTACTGACAAAGCTGAATTTCACCCCACTGATGTAAAATTCTGACATGGAAAAACATTACAGACAAAACACACAACTGTGTGGGCATTTTTTCCCCTAATTGGACATTTTTTTCCTCAAATTTATGTTGTAGGCTTCATTCAAATATGGAGGCAATAATTATTATTGATATCTCCAATTTAAAAAACCATCAGATTTTTGGGGATTTTTTTTTAAACAGGAAGCAACCTGCACCATTAAACATAATTTTGAAATTTCACCAGAATACTAAAATTTAGCATTTCTAATCATTAAATGCAGGCCTATCTTGAACATTTATGAGAAAAATATACTTTGCTGTCAGACACAGTGTCTGCATCTATCCCCCTTTTTCAAATATTTACAGTTAATATGAAGTAAGTACTTGTTATAAAGTGTTGCTATACTGGCAATTTAATTTCATCTGCTGGAAGTTTGAAAGACACCACAAATTATCTCCTGCTTTCCTGGCTTGGAAAGTAGAAGATTAAGACCTCTTTAAAAATATTTAACTTTAACATCAATGATGATTTTTCACAAATAGCAGGTTAGAGAGGTGCAACAGACAAAACAGATTGAGTGAGGTTATTTGATGCTATACATTACTACTACCAACTAGCAAAGCATCTATTATAATTAAGGTTACTACTGAATAGATTAGTGGCCAGACTAAAAAATTAATTATTTTTCCTCCACTTTCAGAAGTTTATTAACAATTAAATACAATTCTGGGTACACATGAAACACAAAAGTTTTTGGGTTGTACTTAGTACTACACATTAGCATCTTTACAGAAATCCCTAAGATTATGTTACATTAAAAATATATGAGTAGTTTTACTTTTCACATGCAGGATCCTTTACTTATAACTTGGACACTGAATTTAAGCACACACTGCCATCTTTGGCACAGCTTTTGGATTTCAGACAGTTGCTTAAATAAAATTAAACAAATGAAAGGGAGTAAGAACACTTCAATACCAAAAATAATTTACATTAAAAACACAGATCTTAGGTTAGGAGGATTGCCATGGTCTGAATCACATGAAAACCATTCCCTTTAAAGTTTTCGTTTTGTTCATAAACTCACCAATTGCCATGAATATTTCATTTACGTTCATAGATGTTTTGGCAGACGTCTCCATGAACAATAAGCTGTTGTCATCTGCATAAGCCTGTGCTTCCTGAAAGTTAAAATAAGAATACATTACTTCATTAAAAAAAAAAAAAAAAAAAAAAAAAAAAAAAAAAAAAAAAAAAAAAAAAAAAAAAAAAAAAAAAAGAAAACTCATACAATCATTACACACTGTACTTTTAATTGCTACAAAGGAACAATCTCTACAGCATTTTGAAAGAAAGACAGTTTGTGGAAACACTCATCTGACAATGTTATATACCAGCTATGGAGAAGTTAAAATTTCACCAATCAGTTCAACGACTAGAAGTGGAATCTTGAAGATCCCTAATAATCTTAAAAATATCCAGGTGAAAAAAATCTCATGCAAAACTAAATAATAAATGAAAATATTTATGAAAGAGACAGCCCCAATGCAGAACATTAGCTCTGATAGTAAGAACAAATAAGTTTCAGAAAGTGCCACCAAATGCCATCAAGTCCATTATTACCCTGGAAAAAGGCAGTCTATGAACTATCTTGAATCTTTCAACCACTGAGGCAGATGGATCAGAAAAGTTTTATTATCCTGATACAAATTCACAGTTCCAGCAAATAAGTGGCATTCAGTATTTTACCATGTTACCTCCCTTTTCAGTATGAATTTTAATCTGAAACACTGCTCTTAAGAACCTTACTATTTTTGCCGCTTCTTATTAGTCAATTCAGCTGAGAATCTCCAGATTATGCTTATGTAACTGCCTTTGCATTCAATAAGAAATCTGTGAAAAAAATGAACTACAGAACACCTATGATGATAAGAATAATCTACAGTGCTCTATAATTGTGTCATCTGCTAAGATCTATGTAATTTATACCTGAAACAACACATTAACAAATACTCATTGCTATCTGCAATGAGAAAGGTCTGTCAAGCCCACAAGGAGTCCATAAAGCCACAGTAGCAAACCCCCTAACATTTAAAAAACATTGAAATTGTAATTGTTCAAGAAATAGTACAGGTAGATCTACTGTGGTAGTTAAATGCGCTTATATTATTGACAGCAGTCATGCATGAACTTTTTGTTAAATGTAACAATTTTTCATAAAACACCAAAGTCTCATGTCAATTGTCATGAAAGTATAAAATTAAAAAATTGGCAGAAAAACATCTAAACCACTGCTAACCTTATAATTCAACCCTCCAGAGTTATAAAATGTTTCATTATTATATGCAGCTGTATCTCAGTGACACCAAACAGATTAAAAACTGTAAATTACTGACTAATAAACAGTATCTTAATTCAAATTCAGTCAATCATGAATGGACCAAAACTACCTGTAGTTAATTTAATTCAGCTTAAAGACTATTTTCTGATGACTTGATTAAACTTTCTAGAAGATGATCTGTGAGAGCACAGATGTAATCAATAAACCAAAAGAAATACCATGAAAAGCTCCATTAAAATTTCAACATTGCTTCAACAGTACAGCTTAAGCAAGTTAGGCACATCAATCATCTTTGTATCATATGATAATCAAAATTCTCTGGCTGACAAGCCAGACAGAACAGCTTGCACTGAGTTACTGCTATCTCATCCACCGAAACTCTAGTTACTGGTAATTTTGGGTAGAAGACAGAAAGAGGTCACATCAAAGAACAGATACTCAATTAGCCTTAAAGATACGCAAATAAATTAATTATTCCTCAAAGTCAAATTAATTATTCCAAAAAGCCTATTCCTCCATATTACTTGTACAGAAATAGGTTTTTTGGTAGCGTGTATAATTTAATTAGTCTCAGTTGACATTTATATTTAACAACATGACCCCCATAATAACTAGCTAGGCTATGTGTATAAGCTCCCCGTAGGTTTATTTACTATCTATTCAAACAAAATGCAATATCTATGAACAAAAAATAATGTACATACCTGGAAATCCACAGCTCTTTTGTTAGCTAGATCAGCTTTGTTTCCTGCTAAAGCTATTACAATATTAGGACTTGCTTGTCGCTGAAGTTCTTTGACCCAATTTTTCGCTCTGGCAAAGGACTCCTGTTAATGATTATAAATGATGCAACTGAGTTTTATCATCCTTTTTTACTCACCTATTATCCTCATCTCTGTTATCTACACTTCAAGCACAAAACGCCAATGCAAGGCTGCTACCTTAGTCCAAAGGCACACTCCAAATTGCCAACCGAGCTTTTTAAAATGAAACATTCCTGCCTTAGTTCTCAACTGTGCTTAGCTGTGATAATGCTGAAGTAAACAGGTAGGAAGATCTTTGTGTAGACAGAGTAAGGAAAGAAGTGGTTAAGAGAGAAAACAGCAATTTCAGTTTCTCTGGAAGATTCATTGAAAAGGCCTCAAAATTACTTTTTAATTACTGGGGACTGTTCATTATGGTACATGATTGCTGTGGATTTTTTGAAAGTTTTGGGTTGCAAGTCCAATTTTATCAGAGACTAGTGAAGCTTATCTAATCCAAGTTCAAATAAAAAGAAATCTAATAACCTTAGGTTATGGTCTCAATAGACTGTGCTACCTTTCCAATCCTTAATCAAATTTTGCAAAAATACAATATTAAAATAATGTCTTCACTATCATGGTGCCACCAGCAATGTGATGAGAGTAACAGCTCAAACTCCATGAACTAACTGATTTAAGGGTGGGTTAGAACACACTTTTACAAGAGGATTTTTCCTCTTCCTTTCCCTCTTTTTAATAAAGAAAACCACCCCAAAGCAAACAAAAAAACCAAAAACAAACAAAAAACCAACCAAACAAAAAAAAAACCCAAAAGACAATAACAATAACCCAAAAACAACAACAAACAAAAACCCAACTCTAGAAACAGTCTTTTAGCCAGAAAAGTTTAGAGACACAAATTGACATTACACAGTGCAGTATGAAATGAGCAATCTGGTCCAGCAGAAGGCATCCCTGCCCATGGCAGGAGTGTTGGACTAGACAACCTTTAAAGGCTTCTTCCTATCCAAACCATTCTATGATTCTGCAAAATGATGAATTGATTTACACAAGTCAGTGAGAAAAAAATAAGTAAAGATCAGTGCAAGACTAGTAACTTCCAAATCCCCCTTGTGCATCCCTAATCCAGTACTTACCTCGTTTGTAATGTCGTATACCACTATAGCTGCTTGTGCTCCTCTGTAGTACATGGGTGCTAAACTGTGGTACCGCTCTTGGCCAGCTGTATCCCAAATTTCAAATTTTACCGTTGTATCATCCAGACAAACGGTCTGGGTTAGAAAAGCAGCTACAAAAAAAACAGAGGTGCTGAAACCAGAAGTTTGCTTGTATCTCTATAGTCATATATATAGTTATGCTCACAGAGATGCAAAACATTTCAAGCCTACTATTTAAATACAACAAGTTTGATGCAAGCATTAGCTGACAGTCTGTGACTCTGATGAACATAGAGGAGTTATTTAAACAACTGGACATTCCTCAGGTTAGACATAAGAAAGCAAAAATTGTAAAGAATTTCCGTTTTCATTATAGTGAATCTGAGTAACCATAAGCCTTCTCTTAAAGCTTCTAGATACAGTCTGTTGAAGAAGGATGTATACTAGTGTACCAGAAGCAGAACCCCATCATACTCTAATACAACAGTTCAGATATTTTAATTCTACACATTTATATTGCTTGAATATCATCTTCAAACTTTGATTTTCAGCCCCTAACAACTTCACCTTAGCTAACAGGTCTGAAGAAAGAAGCACTTCTTGTAAGTTCTTGTTGTCAAAGCAACTATATTTTTGACTTTGCAAGTAATCTCAACAATTAACTTCAGCACAATTTCAACAGCCTGCAGTTTCAGGGAAACTTGCAGACATTTCTACTACAGCTGAACACATTACCATAAATAATGGTCTTCCAGTTACAGAAAATACTAACTCATTCCAAGTCCTCAAACAGTTACTACTAGTAAAAGTTTTCCATTCAGATTAAGGAAAAATCAGAAGTATGGAGGTGAGAGCCCACACAGTACAGAAATCAGTATTAAAAACTAAACTAAGGAACTCTCACTACTTAGCTGAAGCAGGAACTCTGATCACTAGGCTCACTGACAGACTGTGGCCAATTTAAATCAAAAGACTGAAGAGACACCAGCCCCTAATGCTTGCCTATCTGGGATTTCATCCTGTCCTACACACTCTGCGACATCATAGTGTAAGAATCATTCCAAAACTGCTCCAACCTTCAACTCAGCTCATAACAGAAGCCAAAATTAAGCCAATCTTGCTCTGTAAAGGACATTGTAACTAGCATACAGAAGTGTCCCTGTCTCAGCTGTAAGCAGCAGCTGCATGGTACTTAGCTGCTGGCTGGGGTTAAACTGTGACCAGAAGCTGACTCCTTAAGTGGTCAGGTGCTCCTGCTTCAGGGGTATTAGCATCCATCACAGATGAGCAGACAGGCTGGAGAAGGTAAAAGCTTTGATGTTCCAATGTTAAATCAACATAAATCTCTCTAAATGTTACATATCCGAACACTGGTAGAACAGGCTCCACTTGGCAGCTCCCTAAGCAGCACAGAAGCAAAACAGAGTGGAAAAACACCATACATCCTGCACTAAGCTAAGGCTTCCTCCCCAGAACCAGCTCAATATTGTATTTCTCCAAGGCAGAGACAAGATGATTTTCAAGTTCTCAGAATTATTCTCTTAACATAAAAATGTACCTACACTGTATAAATGAAGGTAGGTACTTGGAAAGAGAATTAAACAAGAAGTTTATTCTTTTCAATCCTCTTTTGTTTTTGTCAAAAATAACATTTCAACCACTTTAAAATGCCAATTAATCTCTGAAAAAAAGGCTAACTTTCTTCGACCTTGCCAAGGCCATAGTAAATTGACAATTAATCATCTGTTAATTATCTGAAAGTCTATCATCTTTAACAGCCATACTTTTGTCTTAAGCAACTAACAGGCCTGACTACAATCTGAAGTGGCAAAACCACACCACCACCATCCACCATGTCTGCCTTTAACTGCACTCCCTTTCAGATGTTTTTATCCAGATTCACAATGCACATAAGCCTCTCTTTGTTAGAAGGCCCTTCTGTATACAAAGAAAATTATGCCTTAGGCAACTACAAGCCACAGAGTTAGACAGCTTTCTCTATAGAAAACTTTTCTGAATCCTAACATTGCTGCATGTAATAGCTCTCAGCTGTATTATATAGAATTTCCTTGTTTCTACTTGATAGAGAAGAGGCACAAGTTAATACAGATTACACTAAACCTTACACATCTGAACTTGAACTTAGGCTCTTGTATAACCTTTGTTTAGATTTTGAACAGTATAACAGGGTTTTGGTTATTCCAAACACTAAAACAAGAAAAAACTAAACAGAGGTTAAATTAATTTTACTTAAATTTAACTGGTTTTAAACTAAAAACCTTGTTGTTATTGGAAAGTTAATTCACAACACATCTTTGAGAATGCTCTCTGTATTACCACACAGCTGTTTATCAGAACATACAGAAACTTTCATACTAACACCTATCCTCAAGCCATGACAAAAGGCACAAAGCCAAAAGTGTGCAATAGTAAGACTGCTAAAGTAGAAAATACATGGTTGTCTATTTATGCTGACAGATAGAAAAAATAAATACATTTAACAGCTAGATACAGGGCAAAAGAATAATGCAATGAAATTCAGCTTGTATCTATTTTTGTAAGCTTTCCAGTGTTTTTACACTTCAACAACTGTTGGTATGTGAAGACATACAGACCACTAGAAGGCCTTCACATAAATATTACAATGGAACAGGCTGACTCATGCAAGCTGCAACAGCAACTACTGGAGAGTATTTATCAATTCACAAAATTCATACCTTGTAAAGTCTGTATGCTGTTAGGTAGTTTTAGGAAATGTTTAAATTTATCCAAGGAGGAATACAGCTCAAAGCACAAACACAAACTACAATATAATTTAAGAAATCTGTCAAGCAGAAAAGTGTGATAAAATCTGTTTAAAGTTAAACAGATTTTTAAAAATTCTGGTAGCCAGCACCTGTTTTGTTTGAAATCAAAAAATGGAAAACCAGCACAATAAATTCTGCGATTAACACAAAAATATTTCCAGAAATGTAGCAAGTTCTCCAAAATCAAAGTCAGAATGCATAAGAGACAAACACAAGCCTTATGGAAGATGCAATGCTAGGGTTTTTTTCACAGAAACTAGCTTCTACTTTCATAGAAGCTTATAGTTCTTACTAAGCAGTTATTTAATGCATTAAGCATGCAGCACAATTAAAAGAGCCACACACCCACTTACAAACAAAATGTAACATTTAGCTCAGGTTTCAAAACTATGCAGTTCAAGAACACGTTTAATACCTCCGCTTGAAAAGGATGCTTGTGTTTAACTCAGAAAGTTATAGTTCTCAATTAGTGACGCAGGGCTCAGATTTGATCCCTGCTGTCAATGACCCACTCTAGAAGTGCTGTTACATTAAAGGTTTTCAAGGGCAAGGACAATATAAACACATAACACGTAACAAACTAACAGGGTAATTTTCTCACCTCCAATCGTACTTTCTTGAAATTCATGAAACTGTCCTTTTACAAAACGAAGCACCAAACTTGATTTGCCAACTGCAGACTCTCCTAAAAGTACTAGTTTGAATTGGCAAATTTTATTTCCAGCATTTGGCCCGTTGGGCCTTGTTGCTCCTCGATTAGCCATGTCCAAATTAGAAAGCAGTCCTTTGTTTCAACAGCTTTTGAAACCAAGTTCCACTGAGATCTGAGTTCTGGTTCTTCTGCCAGTAACAACCTAGTTTGTGAAAAGACAGTGTGTGCATTAGATTTACAAACCAAGTAAGAAAAGTCTCATTCACTAATGCAATATATTTTATATAACTTCACCTAGTATTTACCGAAGTCAACAGTCTAGACTCCAGGTACCATCACTGATAAGTTGTCAGCTATAGCTAGAATTTATGATACATGAACAAGTTATCTTCTTCAACACCTAGTCTTCCCATCAAAGCTTCAAATTAGCACATTAAAATCCAGTTATGCTGTTTCTTGCAAGACCTCAGTCTCCAGTTATGTCTTAACAAATCAAGATTGATTTAAAACACAATAGATTCAGACTTTCAAATTGTCAGTAAAATAACAAATGACAAGCAGGAATAACTTTTCATAATTATGCTATTGCTAACCAATATTCCAAAGTCTTGAACACTGCTCAAGGATGCTAAAAATCCGAGCAATTTGGGAAAACTCAAATACCACAGTACCTTCTTTGCAAGTGTAGTTCATCAATTCACTTCTATCCCATCTATCAAACACAGTTTACTTACATAAAAGTACAGATCTTCACACACAAACCACTAATACCCTCTCTAATTAACAACTGTACTGAGAAGCAAAAGTGAAGCCTTCCATATGAAAACCAAATGACCATAAGAATTCCAGACCACTTTGCACAAATCACCAGAGAACCACCATACTATGATAAATTTCTATTTCCAATACTTACACATGTCCTAGACCAATATTAACAACAGAGATTTTGATAAGAACAAGTATGAACAGTGCATTACTTAGTCTGCTTACTCTTCTTTCCAGCTGCTTAAAAAAAACCCCATCCACAGTACTTACTCATAAAGAAAGAGAAGCCTTTAGACTCTGCTGGTACCACTTGTGACCCTAATATTTATGCTTTTACACACTTAACAGCAGATACAAAAGACCTCTCAAAATTAGTTCATAATTTTGCCCTACTCCAGCTGATCATTTATTTGAATTAAGCAGATTTTGCAGGGATACACCTTTTCTAACATCTATGACGTGAGTTAGGTTAGAGTACATGCTCCTGGTGCAAAAAATGGCTTTAATTCGTATATTGCAAAAAAATAAGCAAACATAAAAGTTTCAAATGACTCCCTGTTCTTTATTATTTGTGATGAAGCAACTACATTTTAAACCAAGTAGTAGTCTTTAGCCATCTTCCTATTTCAAACCCCTCAGCACATAGATTAGGCACTTAAGTATTCCTGTTTACTACAGGCCTAGCTCAGATGCTAAGCCCACCCTCTCCTTCCTAACTCTCCCCTTCCCTCAACCCAAGTCTTGAAGACCCTTCTTTCCTGGAAAGTGCTTCAGCAGCCTAGCAGAACCTTACCCTTCAGTAACATACTCCCTTGCAAACTAATATTCATGGAGTAAATGAGGACAAAAATCTTAGCATTATTTACTGAAAAATGTAACAGCTGAAAAACAGATACTTAATTTCTCATTGTAAGCAGAATATAGGTCTTAAAAATATTTACAGCATCTTAGAGGCACTTTTATTTGCTCATGTTCCTCCTTTTCTCATATCTCTCAAAATAATTTACCTTCTTTAAGGGAGGTTACAATGATTTTGCATTCTGTCCTGAGTTTGTGTCCCATTTGACTATTACATCACACTTAAAAATATGTATTTTTAAAATTTCAATTGTATAGCAATCTATCAAGTAGTAACTTTTAGCTATATATTCTTAGAAACGTGTGAAAGTATTCCACAGTGAAAGGATGAAGCAAAAAAGCCCCTGCAAATCCTACCATCGTTGTTATTAACTACCACATTAATTCTATACTATAGTTCTTATTCATTAAACTAATTTTGGGGAAGTATTTCAGAATACAGGAATGGATCCAGTTATTTTAAAAATACCAGACCTCTCATCCTTATACCATAAATCAACAAATTTGCCCTACTAGTGTGTTGGTTCTCAGGCAAGACTCTTCTCCCCTCCATGATGTGGAAATATGCTTCAGAAGTTGTGGAGTGATTTGGCTAAAAATGGATCAGTGACAACAGTTAATCTCTCCCTAACTGTACAACAATAGAGAATGCAGCAAGGCATAACCAAAATAGAGGTGGTTCAGAACACTGTTACCCATTTGTTTATCTTTTCCTCTGGAAAAGAAATTAAGACTTTAAACTTAAAAAATTCTCATCCGTTTGCTGTAGCATTCTAGTGTGTTTGGACAACCATGAAATAATTAAAAACCCTGTTTTTTAATATGCCCCATGTTTCTCCAGACTCTGCAGCATTCAAAGAAACATAAGGACAATATCCAATGACTGTGTGACTTAGTACTCCTGGGAGCAAGTGACTTCTATATGACACACAGTGAGGAAATCAAGCCACTGCACAGGTTACTCCCGATGACTGCTTTTTTGCTTGCTGTTTCCCATACTGACAGCAAAAGGAGGTATGAGGAAAAAAAAATTGCATAATATTTATCAATTTCACCTGAGCATTTACAGCTGGCTGTTATTTCAGATTTTTATCACTTTCAAAACACTAATTATACCCCTTGCAAAACTACTTCAGAACACAAAGCTGACATAGGTTGTGAATAAAAATATCTGATTCAATTTTTACAGATGCCCAAGCTACAGAAGTTTACATTCTTACAGCATCCCTCCCCTGAAATCATCCTAGACAGTCAGATACCATGTACAAAAATAACCAGCTCTCAAGCTGATAGCAGACCACAGCACCTGATAGGAAGGCCATCTAAGAAACATACTGTAAACCTCATTCATTCAACAGTCACTTCAATACATCTAATAAATTAATAATGAAACCTACTAGTCATACCACCCACTTTTCAACAGCTCAGGATAAAAGAAAATGCAAGACTGAAAACCTGATAGAACACATTTAGATGATTGTGACATATTAATAAAAGTCACTAACACCTTCTATAAGTGTATACAGAAATCATCATCTTTTGAAGTTTCAGATGATGCCAAAACTCTGTAGTTGAATTTCACAACATGGCAGCATACACAAAAAGCAAGGGAAGTACCTGCTTAATCTGAAGAGAAGCAGTACTGCAGTTTGACACAGCCACTGCACAATGGTTTTGGGCTGTTCTTTGCACATCTGTGAGCTGAGCACACAGTGCCTCAGAAAGATTCAGAAGAAAATTTCAATGCTACAGTCCCCCATGCACACTCCAAGTCTCAGGTCACATTCGTTCTACTACTTCTTAATTCATCAGTAAAATACAAACCTGGAGAACCTGGGAGGAACAGTAAATTCAGTACCCTACCTATACACTACAAACTCAGCTCTGGTAAAAACTTCCTGGGAAAAATTCCACTGATATGGCTCCCCTTCTAATTTTGTACGCAATGTAATCAATATGTTTGGACTATGTAAAGGAAGAAAACCTGGGCAAGACATTTTCATTCACCTACACATAGGCAAGTACACAACTGTTTGGCTTGAAACAGCTCTTAAACAGATACATATGGGAGTTATGGAAGTGATCTACTAGTATAAAAATCTGCTAAAGAAAATACTTTATGTGGGAAATGGATTTGTAGAGATTTCTTAGGGATTGACAGAAGGGTTTTCTTTGGAGAAACAGAACTATGAAAGATGCACTGTATTGGGATGCACGAGGGGTAGTTTTAGATGATTGGCTTTAAGGCATCTACAGCATGGCGTGACAAAAAGCTGATAGGCCAAGAAACACTTATGGTCTATTATAATTAGGAAATAGTCAGCTTCTGATTGTGATGGTGTGAATTATAATAACTGTACTGCCTCACCCTTCTCATGAGACTGAAAATGGAATAAAGGTTTTTAAAATGCCTCTCAGTTGCCCCAACTCCAGGTCAGGAAAAGGGTATTGTCCAACAAATATAAAATTTTTTGAGACAGATGGCTTCAGATAGATGGAAATGAGGGAGATTTTCTTACTTTTATAGAGTTTAACATAAAAACTCCATTTTGCAGTCTTGGGCGGTATAAATACATAGGTCACTATGCTAAGTAGGAACTTTCACTCTTCTGAATATCCCCCCCATGACTGAGCAGGTCCATGCTGAAATGCCAGAACACAAAGCCTGGAGTATATTATGAGCTAAGTACTCCTCATAATCCCACCAACTAATTTACTGTATGCTGCATATTCTCCTCACTCCAGAAGAGAAATTTGTATGCTGTTGGACAGTCTGAGTTTTATTTATGAAAGAGTACTAAGTATTTTAACAGATCAAACACAAATCTTATTATGCTTGAGCCTCTGTACAAAATACGAACAGCCCCAGCCAATACCCACAAACCCTCAATTTAATGGCATAATTCAGTCATGCAAGCATAAGCACTGGACTATTTCAACTACAAGACAGCTAATAAGAAGTATCAAAGTAACACTGGTGACAAAAGCCAGCCAGAAGAGATTAAGACAGTGAGTACTGTTCCTACAACTAATGTGATTAAACATATTATCAAATAGAAAGGCCACAGGAAAAAATTCATGATAAATTTAAAACTGGAACATTCCACCACTTTTATATGCCATAGCAAACAACACTGTTTCTTACTGCTAAACTTTTGTATGCTGCATTAACAGACATAAAGCATACAATGCTGAGGCTGCAACTATTATCTACTTTAAATTTTTTTATACTGGACTTTCTTGAATGTTTTAAAAGTCAGTAAGTAAAAAGCCTTATGTATTAGCCACTCCTACTAACTGAATTTTTCTTCTAGGTTCAGCAGAATTAGTGTGATACCTTACTGTAGTGTTCAAGACAGTGACAGGGACAACCAGCAAAATGCTTGCAATATGTAAGCCAGTTTACATAGAAACATAATGAGACTAAGTTAAACAAGTGCATCAACACAGTTGCTGCAAAAAAATCACAGCCCTACAATTAAAGGTATTAGCCATCTCAAAAGCTCATCTGAATGATGAATGGTAGCAATTGCTTTCAGATAAACTGGTTTATCATACAGGAAATGTAAGTGATGACTACAATACCATTGTCTCTAGTTACCTCACTTCAGCCAACATCTACCTCTTTCTGACATTTCTCATTATGGAAGAACAATATCTACAAGCAATCTGTAGGTAAGCATGACTGTAATTCTGAACAGACACTATAAAACTGGAAAAAATAAAAAATACTACGATTTTTACTTTGCTTGAATGTTATATGAAAGAAATGGATTAATTTCAGCTGCTTAATTTGCTGTTTAGCCTCTCGTTACCATCCTCAAGCTCTTAAAGAGGCATAAGGTAGAAAAAAAATCATTACAAATGCCGAGCGAACAGCCTTTCATGGCCCCGTTTGGAACATTTTGATACTTCTCATGCAATTCAGCTCTTCTCTAAAGCACAAAAAGCTTAGGTTTGGTCCTCCACCCTACCCCAGCTTTGTCTATTTCCAATTGCGTGCGATGCAGAAGATATCCAGCATACTAGGCCTGTTGCGATCCCCCCGATGGCGACGCATTTTCGGGAGCATTTTACTTCCCACCTAGTTCACCGTCCTTCTTCCAGACGCAAGCGAAAGGGAAAGCGAGGGACCCACCACCCAACCTCCCCTTCCATATCTCACAAGCAACTCGAGGGGCACAGCCCTGAGGGCCGGCCCCAGACAGCGATACCTCTCCGCAGGAGCGCCCGCACATAGGGGAGGATCCCCGCTCTCCCGGGCCCAGCCCCTCCATCCCCCGCCGCCACCTCCCCTCCCCCGCGGCTCCCTTCCAGGCGCAGGAATAAGGGGAAGTGGGAAAACCGGGGGCGCCATTTTGAGCCGGGAAAGGAGAGAGCAGCGTCCCCGCTCCGCACGCCGCGCTGCCCACCTCGGCCACCCGTACCGCGGCACGGCGCTCCCGCAGCGCCGGGGGAGCGGCTGCCGGCAGGAGCCCGGACGAGGCGCGTCTCGCCGCCGCCGCCGGAGCCCCCCCGCGCCGCCTCCGCCTCCTCACCTGGCCGGGCTGGGGGAGCCGGGGCGGCGGCGCAGCGGCGTCCGTCCGTCGGGCGCGTCGGTCGGGGCCGGCGGGCGCGCCGGAGCAGGGTGGGCGGAGGAGGGGTAAGAGGGGAGGCGGCTCCTCGGTGGGGGCGAGGGGCGGGGGCGCAGCCGTGCCTCACCCAGCCCCGCCGCCGACTTCCGCCGCCGCCTCTGCCCCGACCAAAACACGCTCACACACACACAGCACGCACTTCCGCCGCCGCCACGTCACGCCCGCACGCGCCGTGCCCTTCCGGTGCGCCCGCGCCACGCGTCACGTGGCTCCCTTCCCTTCCCACCTTTCCCTCCTCCCTTTGTTCCCGCTCCCGGCCGAGCCGCACTCGGCTGTAGGGTGTTCCCTGTCTCCCGCTTCTCCCCAGCGCTGCGGGAAGAGTCCCTGGGAGCGACCCGCGCCTCCTCCATCTTCCACTTACGGTGGGGGTGGTGAGGCACTGGAGCGGGTTGCTCAGACAAATGCAGGACGCCCCATCCCTGACAGTTTCCAAGGCCAGGCTGGGTGGGGCTCTGAGCAACCTGCTGGAGTAGGAGGTGTCCCGGCTCAAGGCAGGGGAGTTGGGACTGGAGGATCTTTAAGGTCCCTCCCACCCCAAACTATTCCGTGAGTTTCTGCCACCCCGAACTATTCCGTGAGTTTCTGCCACCCCGAACTATTCCGTGAGTTTCTGCCGATGCTTCAGGGAGTGCACTGCAGCCTGAGGAGGCCACTGAGGAGCGCGGGATGGGAGCTGGGTATCACGCACACAGACAAGTCCTGGTTTAATCCTCTCAAAGAACCAGTTTCCAAAGCTATTAGTCAAATGAGTTGAAAGGAGGAACTACATAGGAAAACCTGCATTGCCATCGGGAATTTACCTTTTTTGAGCAGTCTCTGATAAAGCCCAGAACAAGTCTTGACTGCTTCATAGCACAAAGCATGACCTTGTGAGAAAGCAGCATAAAGGCCACTTGGCCACAAGCTGTAAGTGGATTGTAGTGGAAACAACAATAATGATAAGCATTTCTTCAGTATAGCAGCTTTAACAAGGTCTAAGAGTTGGCATTTTAAAGAAAGAAAGAAAGAAACCAACTTGTAAGACATTTAGTAAGTGTATCAATAATGGTATTTGGTAATTGATACAATTTAATGAAGATTGTTGAGATACTCCACCACAGGAAATAATCAAATTGTTGCATTCTCAAAATATATTTTTTATTTCAACCACATATATTTAAATGAAGCAAAAATCAAGTTGGGTAAAGCCTGTGGTTTGTGTTACGCTGCTTTCCCCTTCCTTAGTATCACATATAAATACTTGAACATACTGAAGTGAATGGAATGAAAACAGATTGTTTTTTTAGTCTTCATCAGTTCTTCTTTTCCATACACTTTTCCACTGGTACCAGTTTGGTCTCAGAGTAACAATTTCCCCTTTCTCCTTTATTAAGTTGAAGTTAATCACTTAACATAAGTGCATTGTGAAAGGCCAATATGTAACTTCAAAAAAAGTAAAATAGTCTGCATTCACCAGTGATGTAGAATGCCAGACTAGCTCCAGAGAAACATGTTTGTTTAAGTAAAGTATACAAACTTTTTTGAGCTGTGAGTTTCCTAAATGTTTGAAAGAGTTGTCCTTTAACTCATGTAATCCTGCCCTAGTACACTGCTTATTTGCCATAACCCATTGACTGGTCTCAATATGTTCAACTGGATTGCAGGATTTGCTGAGCAAACAGCAGATTCCTGATAACCAAATGTGTTTTACTACACACCTGACATGCATGCATTGGAGCACCAGGCACCAGCATCCAGTCAACCTGGCAGCCACTCACTCAACTCACTCACTCACTCACTCACTCACTCACTCACTCACTCACTCACTCGCTCACCCACCTCCCTGCAGTAAGACAGAGAACATAACAGAAAGAACAAAAGCAGGAAAACTTGTGGGTTAAGATAAAGACAGTGTAATAGATGAAGGAAAGTGGAAGTTAAAAGGCAAGGAAATCACTGGCAACCTCCCATAAGCAGGACAGTGTCAGCCCATCTCCAAGCAGCAGCCACCTTGGAAGACAATCTCCTTTGTCTACCTCCATTTTCTATTGCTGATTGTAATGCTGTGTGAGATGGAATATCCCTTTGATCAATTTGGGTCAGCTGTCCTAGCTGTATTCCACTCCCACATTTCTGGACCATCAGCAGCATTTCTTCCTGGGTGGGGCTGATGACAAAGTGGGGAAAAAGAGAAAGTCCTTACTCTGTGCAAGCACTGTTCAGCAGTAGTTGAGGTACTGCTGTGTTACCAACAGTAGTTTAGTCACAAATCCACAACACAGCACCATTCAGTCTGCTATGAAGAAAATGAACTCTGCCTCAGCCAGACACAGTACATACATGAACAGTTTTTGTGGAAAAATATCACACTCAATCTTTAGAATAACTTGAACTAAATTCAATTTAGAGATTAAACACATCATACATGACATTTTGTGTTTCACTTAATCCTATAAAATAAAGGACCATACTATTCTATATGTAAGGAAAATTTCCTATGCTTCTAACATAAATAATAATTCTAATATGAATTTAATTAATAAAATTGAAATAATATTTCAGATTATCAGATGTATCTGAAGTTCAAGGCTAAATGAAATTTTTTATGCAGGAATTCTATTCACATGATATAATTGCTGTTAGGAAGCCTGTTTTGCATGCAGGAGGTTCCTGCTGGCTATCTTAACTCTCTGACTGCAGGGCAGAGCTGTAGCATGTCTTTCTCACTTTGTGAAATGCCCAAATTCTTCTCATGTGGTTGATGCTGACAGAGTAGGACAGTAAACACCAAAGGTTCACTGTGAATGTGTGAAATATGTGAAAGAGAGGCATGAGAGAATGTGGCAGTAATCAAATGACCAAGTTCCAGCTACTGTATTTCAGGCTTGACAGGTCTCTGTGGGTTCTAGTGGTGAAGACAAGTTTCTTCTCTTGTAGTCTGCACAAAAAGATGTTGAAGGAAAGCTCTGAAATCACACAGATAGCCCCTACTTGTGGTCATGTTTTCATATTTTATTTCATCATGGTTCATATATCACATTCCAAAAGTGAAACTGCTGGGTGATATTAATAAATTTATGTTGGTTATGTTTTCACCAGGTGGCTTTCCATCTATTTTAGCATTTCTCTGCAGTTTATGTGCAGAATCTCTTTATTGTGTTTGAACTTCCCCCCCTCTTTTTTTTCCCTATGACATTCTTTTTTTCAGTCTCCTATCTCTACTTGTGTACATTTTCTCTGTACTTATATTGGCTTGCGTATTGCATACAGAAAGCGTGCAGCACATAGAAAACAGTAATTTCCTATCTGTAAATGTATTGAATAAGAAACTATGAAAGCAACCAGGCAGTAACAGTGAAGTGCATTGGCATGGCTGATGTAATTCAGATGTTTCACAACATTTGGAGTGTTTTACATGAACTCCTCTGGCCTTCAGAGACCTTCAGGAACCTACAAACTTAGTGTTTTGACTCTGGTCTAGGCCAGCACCATAGTCAGAGTGAGAGCTGTGTTGCAGAACATGGGGTGCTTGCGCTTCATAAAGAAAGTAAAATGCAGGAGTTTAGACAGTTTCCATTCCTCTGTTTTAGCCTAAACAACACAAAAAAATGCATTAGCTTGTGGGAATTGGATGTCAGAAACTTGTGAAATGTCAAGTACTGTTGAGGAAAAGAAGTGCTGCTGTGGAATGGAAAATTTTGTTCAACTTTTTCCAAACAGCTTTCTCTAGAGATCCTACTTTTGACATAGGAGATGACAAATTCATGCTTAAGTAAAGAAAGTTTTAATCTTTTTTTCCCCATAAAATTGAATTCAATTGGTTTTTGTTAATGCTTCATCTTATCTTTAAAATTACAAGTCCTTCATACTCCACAAATGTTCTTTCTGTGGCCAAAATAACTTTCAGTATAAGAAAGAATGGATATGACACTGATACCAGAATGAGAGGAATTATAGGAAGGAATGTATATTGTCAGTAGGTTTCAAATTGATTTATAGGGACCCATGTTTCTGCAAAAAAGGAAAGAAGCATAGAGGCAAAAAAAAAAAAAAAAAGGCTCTACTTGTTTCTGCAACAGGCACTCTTTTTACATATCCAAGTCCTATTTTTATGCCTTAACACAACCCACTCCATTGGGGCTGAGTGGATGATTTCAATTAGCAAGTGTGGCCACCTGCTGGGGAAAAAACAAGGTAAAAATAAATCAGCAATGCACAGAATGTATAAAAATGGTACCACCTTGAGCACAGGTAGAGAGCCATCTAGAAATACAACAAACACAAAAATTCCATTTCCTGAATTTTATTCTGGGATAAAAAAGTCCCAGTTTCCTGTACCCTATAATTACCATCTAATTTTTACACTACTGTACTTTGCTCTCCCTCTCCATAGATCTCCCTTCTGACAACTTTACTAGATAGAAGTTTAACCTTACAGATTAATGGATCACAAGACATAACCAATAATTTTATTTATTAAACTACCAAAAATTATTGTTTTATTTCGCAGAAATGCTCTAAACTTCAGGCAACAACAAATATAACTGAAATATGAAAAGAACTGAACACACTAAGACTTTATGAGAGCTTCTTTAGTTCCCAAGTGGACATGGATATTCCATACTAGGTGTGTGATGCAGCCACGTCTACAGCAAAAAAACACATAACTTCTTTTGAGAAAGGGCATCTGCATTGCCACAGCTAGATCACAGTTGATGTTATACATGATGCTTCTTGCCTGGAGAAGACCAAGATACATTTATATGTGCTGGAAGTTCATGGATCATGGCACTGGCAAGTACTATTGGTGACTGGACAGCCAGAGCACATCATCGGACAGCTGTGGCTGTCTGAGCCTCTCACTTTCCATTTGTAGAGAAGGAATTTAGTTTTAATGAAGTCCTTACCAAACGAATGTTAGAGTAGAGAATAAAATGATGACACATGGTAACATTTGATCAATTACAATTAAGGTCTGTATATTTATCTAAAGTTGGTTTTGCCATCGAAGGACTATGGAGAATGGAGCAGGATGTGATTAAATTGCGATATTTTGCTGGGAAGAACGGGATAGTTTGCTAAATGTCATATGCGAATAAAAGTCTTTGTAACAACTGAGGGTCTGTTAAACGTCAATGAAACTTGTTCAGTCTTACCCACA